CATCTGTCCATCTGTCCATCTATCTAATTATCTATCTACCTGTGCAGACAGTGCTATACATATTCACATAGAGAAAGATAGGATGCGGGTGCTCCATATGAACGTCACTGGTTTACCTTGACAACTTACTTGTTCCTTCGATGCTCAGCTTTTAACGGTGATGAAAGAAGCGCCCTAAGCCATAAACCCTAAACCCTCCGTAAGTTGAAAAAAATCCGAGCACGGGCACCCGCTGGTCGCCGTTGTCGAAGCAGCGCTCGTTCAAGATCATCAGCAGCGCGTTGAGGATGGAAGAGTTCGCCTTCGCGTCCACCCCTAAAACCCCTCACATATCCCTTTTAGATCCCTTGCACTAGATTCCTTATAAATCCCCTATAGAGGCCCCAAAAAGTCCTTATAGCACGGAAACGACGCTCCTGGTGCCCAGTGCTGCCTGACAGAATGAATGCCGGAGAAGCTGGACTGTAACTTCATCGAAGAAGGGGGTGATACCTACCCGGAACCTCATTTTGCACTTCTGCGGCTTCCACACATCCCCAAGTACGCAACTCCTCAGTAGATTCAACGAGGCCTNNCCCCCCCCCCCCCCCCCCAATTTTTAGCCGACCACAGCCCCACCACCCCGTAGTTTTTTGTCCGGCCCATCCCCAAACGGATCCCTTATCGAATCCTTTATAGATCCCTTACAGATCCCTTTGTAGAATCCTCTCCTGAAACCCTCATAGACCCCTTATAGAATCCCCCAAAACCCTCATAGAGCCCCTGTTTAGACTCCCCGCCTCCCTGAACCCTAAACTCTAGAACAAACCTGCCTTGAAGATCTCGTCGATGAACGCCACATCTGCCTCAGGAAGATAGCCCTTGGTCTTCCGACGCAGCTCGTCCTGCAAGTGGCCACAGGGCCTTAAGGGTTCCATAAGGGTTTAGGGTGTTTCATAAGGGCTCTGTAGTGGTTCTATAAGGTTCTTTTGATAAGGTGCTTATCAGGGCTCTTATAAGGGTTCTAGAAGGATTTTTGCACGCGCTCTATAAGGGTTCTACAAGTTGTGTAAGGAGTCGAAATGGTTGCATAAGGTTTTTGTGAGGGCCATACGCTTGCAGTAGCCTCAGAGTAACCATGTAATTCCCTTGTAACCTCACAGTGACCAGATAATGCCCTTGTAGTAACCTTGCAGTAACCATATCATGCCCTTGCAGTAACCCTATAGTAATGCCCTTGTGGCTTGCCGTAACCTCATAGTGAGCAACCATACAGTTTATAGCAACCATGCAGTGCCCAGGTAGTCACCTTCCTCAAACCCAAAAAACCCAAAACCCAAAGCCCCAAAACCCCAAACCCTAAACCCAACACCCAAAGCCCTAAACCCTGCACCCAAAGCCCCAAAACCCCAAGCCCCAAAACCCCAAACCCCCAAACCCCAAAGCCCCAAATCGTAAGCCCCGCTCCTCTTCCAGGGCCTGCAGGGACAAGGGGCCAAAGAGCTCCTGGCACAGGGAGGCTTGAATCTTAATGCAGGAACCTGATTAAGAAACCCTGGGCCTTTATTAGGGTTCTTAATATGAACCCTAATATATTGGGGTTCTGGGGCCAGGGTTTCTTAATCAGAATCTTCAGGCTGCTGCCTTTCTAGGGGCCTCTTGGGGCTGTTGAAGGGTTGTGGGTTGAGGGTTGAGGGTTGAGGGCTTAGGGAGGGAGGGTTCTGGTTTGAAGCTTTGGTTTTGGGTTTTGGCTGGGGGTTTAGGGAGGGTTTCGGGCTTAGGGCCCTTGTAGGTGTGGCAGTTACAAGTGTAGGCTCTTGGACTTGGGAGGGAGGGTTCAGGCCTCAGGGTTGAGGGCGCAGCGTGAAAATGTCAAGCCTTGGGCCATTTACATGGCAATGCTCAACCCCAAGCCCATGAGGTGCTTCGACATTCGGGAAAAAAGGGGAGCCCCTTTTTTACGTCAGGCTTGCATGTCGTGTTCCCCCCTAGACCCTAAACCTAAGCCCTAAACCCGAACTTTAGTCTTCAGAACGCTGTTGGTGCGTCTCCGACCCACCTCTGGGACCGAAAACCTCGTGAGCAGGCGCTCGAAGAAGCTGCCCTCGCAGACCTCGCGGAAGACAAAAGCCGGCAACTTCTCAAAAGGCTTTCCCAAACAAAAATCTGCGATCCCTTCCTGGCAGATCCCTTCCTGGCAGCTGCAGAGATGTCCTCGTTCAAAAAGCTGTGAGTTCAGAAGCTAGAGTGACAACCCTCTGCCCCCCCCAAACCATGGAGTCTTCGAAAGCCAGAAAAAAACTTAAACCCGAAACCCTAAAGCCCGAAAAAAACCCTAAACCCTAAACCCTAAAGCCCGAAAAAAAACCCGAAACCCTGAAGCCCGAAAAATCCCTAAACCCTAAACCCTAAACCCTAATCCCTAAACCCTAAACCCTAAACCCAAACCCTAAACCCTAAACCCTAAAGAAGCCACAGCACCTGCGAGAGGCGGCGTGCAAGCAGGCTCTTCGCGGTGCCCGGGGAGCCCAAGAGGAAGAGGTGCTCTCCTCTTGCGACACCACTGTTAGGGGACTCTAGGGCTCAGGGTT